CCAGATTCCATCCCCTTCTCCCTCATTCCATCTCCTTCTCCCAGATTCCATCCCCTTCTCCCAGATTCATCCCCTTCTCCCAGATTCCATCCCTTCTCCCAGATTCCATCCCCTTCTCCTAGATTCCATCCCCTCTCCTAGATTTCATCCCCTTCTCCCAGATTCCATCCCCTTCTTCCAGATTCCCATCCCCTTCTCCCTGATTCCATCCCCTTCTCCCAGATTCCATCTCTTTCCCTCATTCCATCTCCTTCTCCCCAGATTCCATCCCTTCTCCCTGATTCCATCCCCTTCTCCCAGATTTCATCCCCTTCTCCCAGATCCCATCCCCATTCCTCCCAGATTCCATCCCCTTCTCCCAGATTCCATCCCCTTCTCCCAGATTCCATCCCCTTCTCCCAGATTCCAACCCCTTCTCCCAGATTCCATCCCCTTCTCCCAGATTCCATCCCCTCTTCCCAGATTCCATCCCTTCTCCCAGATTCCATCCCCTTCTCCCCGATCCATCCCTTCTCACTCGTTCCATCCCCTTCTCCCAGATTCCATCCCCTTCTCCCAGATTCCATCCCTTCTCCCAGATTCCATCCCCTTCTCCCTGATTCCATCCCCTTCTCCCAGATTTCATCCCCTTCTCCCGGATTCCATCCCTTCTCCCAGATTCCATCCCATTCTCCCAGATTCCATCCCCTTCTCCCAGATTCATCCCCTTCTCCCAGATTCCATCCCCTTCTCCCAGATTCCATCCCCTTCTCCCAGATTCCATCCCCTTCTTCCAGATTCCATCCCCTTCTCCCAGATTCCATCCCCTTCTCCCCGATTCCATCCACTTTCTCACTCGTTCCATCCCTTCTCCCAGATTCCATCCCCTTCTCCAGATTCCATCCCCTCTCCCAGATTCCATCCCCTTCTCCAGATTCCATCCCCTTCTCCCAGATTCCATCCCTTCTCCAGATTCCATCCCTTTCTCCCAGATTCCATCCCCTTCTCCCGATTCCATCCCCTTCTCCCAGATTCCATTCCCTTCTCCCAGATTCCATCCCCTTCTCCCAGATTCCATCCCCTTCTTCCGATTCCATCCCCTTCTCCCAGATTCCATCCCCTTCTCCCAGATTCCATCCCCTTCTCCCAGATTCCATCCCCATCTCCCTCATTCCATCCCCTTCTCCCAGATTCCATCCCCTTCTCCCAGATTCCATCCCCTTCTCCCAGATTCCATCCCCTTCTCCCAGATTCCATCCCCTTCTCCCAGATTCCATCCCTTCTCCTCCATTCCATCCCCTTCTCCCAGATTCCATCCCCTTCTTCCAGATTCCATCCCCTTCTCCCTCATTCCATCCCCTTCTCCCAGATTCCATCCCCTTCTCCCAGATTCCATCCCCTTCTCCCAGATTCCATCCCCTTCTCCAGATTCCATCCCCTTCTCCCAGATCCATCCCCTTCTCTCCAATTCCATCCCCTTCTCCCAGATTCCATCCCCTTCTCCCAGATTCCATCCCCTTCTCCCAGATTCCATCCCCTTCTCCCAGATTCCATCCCCTTCTCCCAGATTCCATCCCCTTCTCCCAGATTCCATCCCCTTCTCCCAAATTCCATCCCTTCTCCCTGATTCCACCCCTTCTCCCAGATTCCATCCCCTTCTCCCAGATTCCATCCCCTTCTCCCTGATTCCATCCCCTTCTCCCAGATTCCATCCCCTTCTCCCAGATACCATCCCCTTCTCCCAGATTCCATCCCTTCTCCCAGATTCCATCCCTTCTCCTAGATTCCATCCCCTTCTCCCAGATTTCATCCCCTTCTCCCAGATTCCATCCCCTTCTTCCAGATTCCATCCCCTTCTCCCAGATTCCATCCCCTTCTCCCAGATTCCATCCCTCTTCTCCCTCATTCCATCTCCTTCTCCCAGATTCCATCCCCTTCTCCCAGATTCCATCCCCTTCTCCCAGATTCCATCCCCTTCTCCCAGATTCCATCCCTTCTCCCTGATTCCATCCCCTTCTCCCAGATTCCATCCCCTTCTCCCTGATTCCACCCCTTCTCCCAGATTCCATCCCCTTCTCCCAGATTCCATCCCCTTCTCCCTGATTCCATCCCTTCTCCCAGATTCCATCCCCTTCTCCCAGATTCCATCCCCTTCTCCCAGATTCCATCCCCTTCTCCCAGATTTCATCCCCTTCTCCCAGATTCCACCCCCTTCTCCCAGATTCCATCCCCTTCTCCCAGATTCCATCCCCTTCTTCCAGATTCCATCCCCTTCTCCCTCATTCCATCCCCTTCTCCCAGATTCCATCCCCTTCTCCCAGATTCCATCCCCTTCTCCCAGATTCCATCCCCTTCTCCCAGATTCCATCCCCTTCTCCCCAGATTCCATCCCCTTCTCCTCCATTCCATCCCCTTCTCCCAGATTCCATCCCCTTCTCCCAGATTCCATCCCCTTCTCCCAGATTCCATCCCCTTCGCCCAGATTCCATCCCCTTCTCCCAGATTCCATCCCCTTCTCCCTGATTCCATCCCCTTCTCCCAAATTCCATCCCCTTCTCCCTGATTCCACCCCCTTCTCCCAGATTCCATCCCCTTCTCCCAGATTCCATCCCCTTCTCCCTGATTCCATCCCCTTCTCCCAGATTCCATCCCCTTCTCCCAGATTCCATCCCCTTCTCCCAGATTCCATCCCTTCTCCCAGATTCCATCCCCTTCTCCTAGATTCCATCCCCTTCTCCTAGATTTCATCCCCTTCTCCCAGATTCCATCCCCTTCTTCCAGATTCCATCCCCTTCTCCCTGATTCCATCCCCTTCTCCCAGATTCCATCCTCTTCTCCCTCATTCCATCTCCTTCTCCCAGATTCCATCCCCTTCTCCCTGATTCCATCCCCTTCTCCCAGATTTCATCCCCTTCTCCCAGATTCCATCCCCATTCTCCCAGATTCCATCCCCTTCTCCCAGATTCCATCCCCTTCTCCCAGATTCCATCCCCTTCTCCCAGATTCCAACTCCTTCTCCCAGATTCCATCCCCTTCTCCCAGATTCCATCCCCTTTTCCCAGATTGCATCCCTTTCTCCCATATTCGATCCCCTTCTCCCCGATTCCATCCCCTTCTCACTCGTTCCATCCCCTTCTCCCAGATTCCATCCCCTTCTCCCAGATTCCATCCCCTTCTCCCAGATTCCATCCCCTTCTCCCTGATTCCATCCCCTTCTCCCAGATTTCACCCCCTTCTCCCGGATTCCATCCCCTTCTCCCAGATTCCATCCCATTCTCCCAGATTCCATCCCCTTCTCCCAGATTCCATCCCCTTCTCCCAGATTCCATCTCCTTCTCCCAGATTCCATCCCCTTCTCCCAGATTCCATCCCCTTTTCCCAGATTGCATCCCTTTCTCCCAGATTCCATCCCCTTCTCCCCGATTCCATCCACTTCTCACTCGTTCCATCCCCTTCTCCCAGATTCCATCCCCTTCTCCCAGATTCCATCCCCTTCTCCCAGATTCCATCCCCTTCTCCCCGATTCCATCCCCTTCTCCCAGATTCCATCCCCTTCTCCCAGATTCCATCCCTTTCTCCCAGATTCCATCCCCTTCTCCCCGATTCCATCCCCTTCTCCCAGATTCCATTCCCTTCTCCCAGATTCCATCCCCTTCTCCCAGATTCCATCCCCTTCTTCCCGATTCCATCCCCTTCTCCCAGATTCCATCCCCTTCTCCCAGGTTCCATCCCCTTTTCCCAGATTCCATCCCATTCTCCCTCATTCCATCCCCTTCTCCCAGATTCCATCCCCTTCTCCCTCATTCCATCCCCTTCTCCTAGATTCCATCCCCTTCTCCCAGATTCCATCTCCTTCTCCCAAATTCCATCCCCTTCTCCCAGATTCCATCCCCTTCTCCCAGATTCCATCTCCTTCTCCCTGATTCCATCCCCTTCTCCCAGATTCCATCCCCTTTTCCCAGATTGCATCCCTTTCTCCCAGATTCCATCCCCTTCTCCCCAATTCCATCCCCTTCTCACTCGTTCCATCCCCTTCTCCCAGATTCCATCCCCTTCTCCCTGATTCCATCCCCTTCTCCCAGATTCCATCCCCTTCTCCCAGATTCCATCCCCTTCTCCCAGATTCCATCCCCTTCTCCCAGATTCCATCTTCTTCTCCCTGATTCCATCCCCTTCTCCCAGATTCCATCCCCTTTTCCCAGATTGCATCCCTTTCTCCCAGATTCCATCCTTTTCTCCCTCATTCCATCCTCTTCTCACTCGTTCCATCCCCTTCTCCCAGATTTCATCCCCTTCTCCTTGATTCCATCCCCTTCTCCCAGATTCCATCCCCTTCTCCCAGATTCCATCCCCTTCTCCCAGATTCCATCCCCTTCTCCCAGATTCCATCCCGTTCTCCCCGATTCCATCCCCTTCTCCCAAATTCCATCCCCTTCTCCCCGATTCCACCCCCTTCTCCCAGATTCCATCCAATTTTCCCAGATTGCATCCCTTTCTCCCAGATTCCATCCCCTTCTCCCCAATTCCATCCCCTTCTCACTCGTTCCATCCCCTTCTCCCAGATTTCATCCCCTTCTCCCTGATTCCATCCCCTTCTCCCAGATTCCATCCCCTTTTCCCAGATTGCATCCCTTTCTCCCAGAATCCATCCCCTTCTCCCTAATTCCATCCCCTTCTCCCAGATTTCATCCCCTTCTCCCAGATTCCATCCCCTTCTCCCAGATTCCATCCCCTTCTCCCAGATTCCATCCCCTTCTCCCAGATTCCATCCCCTTCTCCCATATTCCATCCCCTTCTCCCTGATTCCATCCCCTTCTCCCAAATTCCATCCCCTTCTCCCTGATTCCACCCCCTTCTCCCAGATTCCATCCCCTTCTCCCAGATTCCATCCCCTTCTCCCTGATTCCATCCCCTTCTCCCTGATTCCATCACCTTCTCCCAGATTCCGTCCCCTTCTCCCAGATTCCATCCCCTTTTCCCAGATTCCGTCCCCTTCTCCCAGATTCCATCCCCTTTTCCCAGATTCCATCCCCTTCTCCCAGATTCCATCCCCTTCTTCCAGATTCCATCCCCTTCTTCCAGATTCCATCCCCTTCTCGCAAATTCCATCCCCTTCTCCCAGATTCCATCCCCTTCTCCCAGATTCCATCCCCTTCTCCCAGATTCCATCTCCTTCTCCCAGATTCCATCCCCTTCTCCCAGATTCCATCCCCTTTTCCCAGATTGCATCCCTTTCTCCCAGATTCCATCCCCTTCTCCCCGATTCCATCCCCTTCTCACTCGTTCCATCCCCTTCTCCCAGATTCCATCCCCTTCTCCCAGATTCCATCCCCTTCTCCCAGATTCCATCCCCTTCTCCCGATTCCATCCCCTTCTCCCTGATTCCATCCCCTTCTCCCAGATTCCATCCCCTTCTCCCAGATTCCATCCCTTTCTCCCAGATTCCATCCCCTTCTCCCCGATTCCATCCCCTTCTCCCATATTCCATTCCCTTCTCCCAGATTCCATCCCCTTCTCCCAGATTCCATCCCCTTCTTCCCAATTCCATCCCCTTCTCCCAGATTCCATCCCCTTCTCCCAGGTTCCATCCCCTTTTCCCAGATTCCATCCCATTCTCCCTCATTCCATCCCCTTCTCCCAGATTCCATCCCCTTCTCCCTCATTCCATCCCCTTCTCCAAGATTCCATCCCCTTCTCCCAGATTCCATCTCCTTCTCCCAAATTCCATCCCCTTCTCGCAGATTCCATCCCCTTCTCCTAGATTCCATCCCCTTCTCCCAGATTCCATCCTCTTCTCCCTCATTCCATCCCCTTCTCCCAGATTCCATCCCCTTCTCCCAGATTCTGTCCCCTTCTCCCACATTCCATCCCTTCTCCTAGATTCCATCCCCTTCTCCGAGATTTCATCCTCTTCTCCCTCATTCCATCTCCTTCTCCCAGATTCCTTCCCCTTCTCCCAGATTCCATCCCCTTCTCCCATATTCCATCCCCTTCTCCCCGATTCCATTCCCTTCTCCCAGATTCCACCCCCTTCTCCCAGATTCCATCCCCTTCTCCCAGATTCCATCCCCGTCTCCCAAATTCCATCCCCTTCTCCGAGATTCCATCCCCTTCTCTCAGATTCCATCCCCTTCTCCCAGCTTCCATCCCCTTCTCCCATATTCCATCCCCTTCTCCCAGATTCCATCCCCTTCTCCCAGATTCCATCCTCTTCTCCCTCATTCCATCTCCTTCTCCCAGATTCCATCCCCTTCTCGCAGAATCCATCCCCTTCTCCCATATTCCATCCCCTTCTCCCGGATTCCATCCCCTTCTCCCTGATTCCATCCCCTTCTCCCAGATTCCATCCCCTTCTCCCATATTCCATCCCCTTCTCCCAGATTCCATCCCCTTCTCCTAGATTTCATCCCCTTCTCCCTGATTCCACCCCCTTCTCCCAGATTCCATCCCCTTCTCCCAGATTCCATCCCCTTCTCCCCGATTCCATCCCCTTCTCCCAGATTCCATCCCCTTCTCCCAGATTCCATCCCCTTCTCCCAGATTCCATCCCCTTCTCCCAGAATCCACCCCCTTCTCCCATATTCCACCCCCTTCTCCCAGATTCCATCCCCTTCTCCCTGATTCCATCCCCTTCTCCCAGATTCCATCCCCTTCTCCTAGATTCCATCCCTTCTCCCAGATTCCATCCCCTTCTCCTAGATTCCATCCCCTTCTCCCAGATTCCATCCCCTTCTCCCAGATTCCATCCCCTTCTCCCAGATTCCATCCCCTTCTCCCAGATTCCATCCCCTTCTCCCAGATTTCATCCCCTTCTCCCAGATTCCATCCCCTTCTCCCAGATTCCATCCCCTTCTCCCAGATTCCATCCCCTTCTCCCAGATTCCATCCCCTTCTCCCAGATTCCATCCCCTTCTCCCAGATTCCATCCTCTTCTCCCTCATTCCATCTCCTTCTCCCAGATTCCATCCCCTTCTCGCAGAATCCATCCCCTTCTCCTTTATTCCATCCCCTTCTCCCGGATTCCATCCCCTTCTCCCAGATTCCATCCCCTTCTCCCAGATTCCATCCCCTTCTCCCATATTCCATCCCCTTCTCCCAGATTCCATCCCCTTCTCCTAGATTTCATCCCCTTCTCCTTGATTCCACCCCCTTCTCCCAGATTCCATCCCCTTCTCCCAGATTCCATCCCCTTCTCCCCGATTCCATCCCCTTCTCCCAGATTCCATCCCCTTCTCCCAGATTCCATCCCCTTCTCCCAGATTCCATCCCCTTCTCCTAGAATCCACCCCCTTCTCCCAGATTCCACCCCCTTCTCCCAGATTCCATCCCCTTCTCCCTGATTCCATCCCCTTCTCCCAGATTCCATCCCCTTCTCCCAGATTCCATCCCTTCTCCCAGATTCCATCCCCTTCTCCCAGATTCCATCCCCTTCTCCCAGATTCCATCCCCTTCTCCCAGATTCCATCCCCTTCTCCCAGATTCCATCCCCTTCTCCCAGATTCCATCCCCTTCTCCCAGATTTCATCCCCTTCTCCCAGATTCCATCCCCTTCTCCCAGATTCCATCCCCTTCTCCCAGATTCCATCCCCTTTTCCCAGATTCCATCCCCTTCTCCCAGATTTCATCCCCTTCTCCCAGATTCCATCCCCTTCTCCCAGATTCCATCCCCTTCTCCCAGATTCCACCCCCTTCTCCCAGATAACACCCCCTTCTCCCAGATTCCATCCCCTTCTCCCTGATTCCACCTCTTCTCCCAGATTCCATCCCCTTCTCCCAGATTCCATCCCCTTCTCCCAGATTCCATCCCCTTCTCCCTGATTCCATCCCCTTTTCCCAGATTCCATCCCCTTCTTCCAGATTCCATCCCCTTCTCCCAGATTCCATCCCCTTCTCCCTGATTTCATCACCTTCTCTTAGATTCCACCCCCTTCTCCCAAATTTCATCCCCTTCTCCCAGATTCCATCCCCTTCTCCCAGATTCCATCCCCTTCTCCCAGATTCCATCCCCTTCTCCCATGATCCATCCCCTTCTCCCAGATTCCATCCCCTTCTCCCAGATTCCATCCCCTTCTCCCAGATTCCATCCCCTTCTCCCATATTCCATCCCCTTCTCCCAGATTCCATCCCCTTCTCCTAGATTTCATCCCCTTCTCCCTGATTCCACCCCCTTCTCCCAGATTCCATCCCCTTCTCCCAGATTCCATCCCCTTCTCCCATATTCCATCCCCTTCTCCCATATTCCATCCCTTTCTCCCAGATTCCATCCCCTTCTCCCCGATTCCATCCCCTTCTCCCAGATTCCATCCCCTTCTCCCAGATTCCATCCCCTTCTCCCTGATTCCATCCCCTTCTCCCAGATTCCATCCCCTTCTCCCAGATTCCATCCCCTTCTCCCATATTCCATCCCCTTCTCCCCGATTCCACCCCCTTCTCCCAGATTCCATCCCCTTCTCCCATATTCCATCTCCTTCTCCCAAATTCCATCCCCTTCTCCCAGATTCCATCCTCTTCTCCCAGATTCCATCCCCTTCTCCCTGATTCCATCCCCTTCTCCCAGATTCCATCCCCTTCTCCCAGATTCCATCCCCTTCTCCCATATTCCATCCCCTTCTCCCAGATTCCATCCCCTTCTCCTAGATTTCATCCCCTTCTCCCAGATTCCACCCCCTTCTCCCAGATTCCACCCCCTTCTCCCAGATTCCATCCCCTTCTCCCTGATTCCATCACCTTCTCCCAGATTCCATCCCCTTCTCCCAGATTCCATCCCTTCTCCCAGATTCCATCCCCTTCTCCCAGATTCCATCCCCTTCTCCCAGATTCCATCCCCTTCTCCCAGATTCCATCCCCTTCTCCCAGATTCCATCCCCTTCTCCCAGATTCCATCCCCTTCCCAGATTTCATCCCCTTCTCCCAGATTCCATCCCCTTCTCCCTGATTCCATCCCCTTCTCCCAGATTCCATCCCCTTCTCCCAGATTCCATCCCCTTCTCCCAGATTCCATCCCCTTCTCCCAGATTCCATCCCCTTCTCCCAGATTCCATCCCCTTCTCCCAGATTTCATCCCCTTCTCCCAGATTCCATCCCCTTCTCCCAGATTCCATCCCCTTCTCCCAGATTCCACCCCTTTCTCCCAGATAACACCCCCTTCTCCCAGATTCCATCCCCTTCTCCTAGATTCCATCCCCTTCTCCCAGATTCCATCCCCTTCTCCCAGATTCCATCCCCTTCTCCCAGATTCCATCCCCTTCTCCCTGATTCCATCCCCTTCTCCCAGATTCCATCCCCTTCTTCCAGATTCCACCCCCTTCTCCCAGATAACACCCCCTTCTCCCAGATTCCATCCCCTTCTCCGTGATTCCACCCCCTTCTCCCATATTCCATCCCCTTCTCCCAGATTTCATCACCTTCTCTTAGATTCCACCCCCTTCTCCCAGATTTCATCCCCTTCTCCCAGATTCCATCCCCTTCTCCCAGATTCCATCCCCTTCTCCCAGATTCCATCCCCTTCTCCCATGATCCATCCCCTTCTCCCAGATTCCATCCCCTTCTCCCATATTCCATCCCCTTCTCCCAGATTCCATCCCCTTCTCCCATATTCCATCCCCTTCTCCCAGATTCCATCCCCTTCTCCTAGAATTTATCCCCTTCTCCTTGATTCCACCCCCTTCTCCCAGATTTCATCCCCTTCTCCCAGATTCCATCCCCTTCTCCCATATTCCATCCCCTTCTCCCATATTCCATCCCTTTCTCCGAGATCCCATCCCCTTCTCCCAGATTCCATCCCCTTCTCCCAGATTCCATCCCCTTCTCCCTGATTCCATACCCTTCTCCCAGATTCCATCCCCTTCTCCCAGATTCCATCCCCTTCTCCCATATTCCATCCCCTTCTCCCAGATTCCACCCCCTTCTCCCAGATTCCATCTCCTTCTCCCATATTCCATCTCCTTCTCCCAGATTCCATCCCCTTCTCCCAGATTCCATCCCCTTCTCCCAGATTCCATCCCCTTCTCCCTGATTCCATCCCCTTCTCCCAGATTCCATCCCCTTCTCCCAGATTCCATCCCCTTCTCCCAGATTCCATCCCCTTCTCCCAGATTCCATCCCCTTCTCCCAGATTCCATCCCCTTCTCCCAGATTTCATCCCCTTCTCCCAGATTCCATCCCCTTCTCCCAGATTCCATCCCCTTCTCCCAGATTCCACCCCCTTCTCCCAGATAACACCCCCTTCTCCCAGATTCCATCCCCTTCTCCCTGATTCCATCCCCTTCTCCCAGATTCCATCCCCTTCTCCCAGATTCCATCCCCTTCTCCCAGATTCCATCCCCTTCTCCCTGATTCCATCCCCTTCTCCCAGATTCCATCCCCTTCTTCCAGATTCCACCCCCTTCTCCCAGATAACACCCCCTTCTCCCAGATTCCATCCCCTTCTCCGTGATTCCACCCCCTTCTCCCATATTCCATCCCCTTCTCCCAGATTTCATCACCTTCTCTTAGATTCCACCCCCTTCTCCCAGATTTCATCCCCTTCTCCCAGATTCCATCCCCTTCTCCCAGATTCCATCCCCTTCTCCCAGATTCCATCCCCTTCTCCCATGATCCATCCCCTTCTCCCAGATTCCATCCCCTTCTCCCATATTCCATCCCCTTCTCCCAGATTCCATCCCCTTCTCCCATATTCCATCCCCTTCTCCCAGATTCCATCCCCTTCTCCTAGAATTTATCCCCTTCTCCTTGATTCCACCCCCTTCTCCCAGATTTCATCCCCTTCTCCCAGATTCCATCCCCTTCTCCCATATTCCATCCCCTTCTCCCATATTCCATCCCTTTCTCCCAGATCCCATCCCCTTCTCCCAGATTCCATCCCCTTCTCCCAGATTCCATCCCCTTCTCCCTGATTCCATACCCTTCTCCCAGATTCCATCCCCTTCTCCCAGATTCCATCCCCTTCTCCCATATTCCATCCCCTTCTCCCAGATTCCACCCCCTTCTCCCAGATTCCATCTCCTTCTCCCATATTCCATCTCCTTCTCCCAGATTCCATCCCCTTCTCCCAGATTCCATCCCCTTCTCCCAGATTCCATCCCCTTCTCCCAGATTCCATCCCCTTCTCCCAGATTCCATCCCCTTCTCCCATATTCCATCCCCTTCTCCCAGATTCCACCCCCTTCTCCCAGATTCCATCTCCTTCTCCCATATTCCATCTCCTTCTCCCAGATTCCATCCCCTTCTCCCAGATTCCATCCCCTTCTCCCAGATTCCATCCCCTTCTCCCAGATTCCATCCCCTTCTCCCAGATTCCATCCCCTTCTCCCAGATTCCATCCCCTTCTCCCAGATTTCATCCCCTTCTCCCAGATTCCATCCCCTTCTCCCAGATTCCATCCCCTTCTCCCAGATTCCACCCCCTTCTCCCAGATAACACCCCCTTCTCCCAGATTCCATCCCCTTCTCCCTGATTCCATCCCCTTCTCCCAGATTCCATCCCCTTCTCCCAGATTCCATCCCCTTCTCCCAGATTCCATCCCCTTCTCCCTGATTCCATCCCCTTCTCCCAGATTCCATCCCCTTCTTCCAGATTCCACCCCCTTCTCCCAGATAACACCCCCTTCTCCCAGATTCCATCCCCTTCTCCGTGATTCCACCCCCTTCTCCCATATTCCATCCCCTTCTCCCAGATTTCATCACCTTCTCTTAGATTCCACCCCCTTCTCCCAGATTTCATCCCCTTCTCCCAGATTCCATCCCCTTCTCCCAGATTCCATCCCCTTCTCCCAGATTCCATCCCCTTCTCCCATGATCCATCCCCTTCTCCCAGATTCCATCCCCTTCTCCCATATTCCATCCCCTTCTCCCAGATTCCATCCCCTTCTCCCATATTCCATCCCCTTCTCCCAGATTCCATCCCCTTCTCCTAGAATTTATCCCCTTCTCCTTGATTCCACCCCCTTCTCCCAGATTTCATCCCCTTCTCCCAGATTCCATCCCCTTCTCCCATATTCCATCCCCTTCTCCCATATTCCATCCCTTTCTCCCAGATCCCATCCCCTTCTCCCAGATTCCATCCCCTTCTCCCAGATTCCATCCCCTTCTCCCTGATTCCATACCCTTCTCCCAGATTCCATCCCCTTCTCCCAGATTCCATCCCCTTCTCCCATATTCCATCCCCTTCTCCCAGATTCCACCCCCTTCTCCCAGATTCCATCTCCTTCTCCCATATTCCATCTCCTTCTCCCAGATTCCATCCCCTTCTCCCAGATTCCATCCCCTTCTCCCAGATTCCATCCCCTTCTCCCTGATTCCATCCCCTTCTCCCAGATTCCATCCCCTTCTCCCAGATTCCATCCCCTTCTCCCATATTCCATCCCCTTCTCCCAGATTCCATCCCCTTCTCCTAGATTTCATCCCCTTCTCCCTGATTCCACCCCCTTCTCCCAGATTCCATCCCCTTCTCCCAGATTCCATCCCCTTCTCCCAGATTCCATCCCCTTCTCCCAGATTCCATCCCCTTCTCCCAGATTCCATCCCCTTCTTCCAGATTCCATCCCCTTCTCCCAGATTCCACCCCCTTCTCCCAGATTCCACCCCCTTCTCCCAGATTCCATCCCCTTCTCCCTGATTCCATCCCCTTCTCCCAGATTCCATCCCCTTCTCCCAGATTCCATCCCTTCTTCCAGATTCCATCCCCTTCTCCCAGATTCCATCCCCTTCTCCCAGATTCCATCCCCTTCTCCCAGATTCCATCCCCTTCTCCCAGATTCCATCCCCTTCTCCCAGATTCCATCCCCTTCTCCCAGATTCCATCCCCTTCTCCCAGATTCCATCCCCTTCTCCCAGATTCCATCCCCTTCTCCCAGATTCCACCCCCTTCTCCCAGAAAATACCCCCTTCTCCCAGATTCCATCCCCTTCTCCCAGATTCCATCCCCTTCTCCCAGATTCCATCCCCTTCTCCCAGATTCCATCCCTTCTCCCAGATTCCATCCCCTTCTCCCAGATTCCATCCCCTTCTCCCAGATTCCATCCCCTTCTCCCAGATTCCATCCCCTTCTCCCAGATTTCATCCCCTTCTCCCAGATTCCATCCCCTTCTCCCAGATTCCATCCCCTTCTCCCAGATTCCATCCCTTCTCCCAGATTCCATCCCCTTCTCCCAGATTCCATCCCCTTCTCCCAGATTCCATCCCCTTCTCCCATATTCCATCCCCTTCTCCCAGATTCCATCCCCTTCTCCTAGATTTCATCCCCTTCTCCCTGATTCCACCCCCTTCTCCCAGATTCCATCCCCTTCTCCTAGATTCCATCCCCTTCTCCCAGATTCCATCCCCTTCTCCCAGATTCCATCCCCTTCTCCCAGATTCCATCCCCTTCTCCCAGATTCCATCCCCTTCTCCCAGATTCCACCCCTTCTCCCAGATTCCACCCCCTTCTCCCAGATTCCATCCCCTTCTCCCTGATTCCATCCCCTTCTCCCAGATTCCATCCCCTTCTCCCAGATTCCATCCCTTCTCCCAGATTCCATCCCCTTCTCCCAGATTCCATCCCCTTCTCCCAGATTCCATCCCCTTCTCCCAGATTCCATCCCCTTCTCCCAGATTCCATCCCCTTCTCCCAGATTCCATCCCCTTCTCCCAGATTCCATCCCCTTCTCCCAGATTCCATCCCCTTCTCCCAGATTCCACCCCCTTCTCCCAGATAACACCCCCTTCTCCCAGATTCCATCCCCTTCTCCCTGATTCCATCCCCTTCTCCCAGATTCCATCCCCTTCTCCCAGATTCCATCCCTTCTCCCAGATTCCATCCCCTTCTCCCAGATTCCATCCCCTTCTCCTCGATTCCATCCCCTTCTCCCATATTCCATCCCCTTCTCCCAGATTCCTGTTAGAGACTGAGGACGGAGTCTATGAAGATTAGTAGCAAAAATATCTCAACATCGTTGGGCCTAGTTTCTGAACAGAAAAGTCGAGTTCACAAGAAACGCCGTCGACGAAAAGGTCACTGTCAAAACTTCATCAAACTCGACTATGTTGTAGCTCTACTCCGTGGCTTCAATTCCCAAGTTGAATCATGCGAAAAGGTGAAGTATTTCTTGAGCTATCAATTTCGGCGCACTATGGGGTATGCTGCCATAGAATCTTAACTCAATCACAAAAGTTCACACAAGAGAATTGGAGTAGCACTAAACCAGGTGGAAGGGATGAGGAGGACGAGAGGGAAGGTCCCAAGAGAGTCCCCAACCAAGGAAACCCCATGCCATACAATTCCCTTCCCCATAGGCAACCCAACTTTGACCTTTGTCACTATCCCAACCTCCACAATCCACCTCATCCCAACTTGGCCACACTTGCCAGCCTGGTTTGGTTTCTCCCAACCATTTGGCAGCAACTACAGTAGAAAAGACGAATTTCCCAACCCTCAAAAGTCTGTACCCCATATTGAGTCAACCCCACAACTTCCCATAGTCACCACAACCAAATATCAAAAGCATACGAACTCCAACGTTCGTAACTTTCTTGTTCGTGCTCCGATTGAAGCGATACTTGGTTCCTCGGAAAGCTCTTGAGCAGAGGAGTCACTTCAGATATCTGCTCAAGCCAAATAACATTCACACACACACACTCAGAAAAACCAAACCGCACAAAACACAAATTTCTGCACACACTCACAACACGCATGCAACGCACGAACATATGATGGGAGGCAGACAGACGTGAATGCGAATGGTAGCATCACTCAACAAACTCCCCCTCTGGCTGCCAACCATCATCCCACATGTCATAGCTCAAGCATGCAACCTCAATGCACACTCATCCCTGCAAGCTTCATGCCCTTCCAATGCTCAGATTCAGCCAGGCGCTTGGTGAGAATGTCAGCCGCCTGCTGATGGGTCTTCACAATCTCCAGCCGCACCTCCTTGTCCAGGAGCCTTCTCACCCAGTGCCACTTAGGCCTGATGTGTTTGGTCAGCCCATGAAGACAAGCATTCTTCGCTAGCTTCACCGCCGACTCATTGTCACAGAAAATCACAGTCGGCTCCCTCTGACCAACTCCAATCTCCTCCAACAAACGCCTCAGCCACACCACCTCCTTTGCCCCATGATGCAGGGCCATGTACTCTGTCTCACACGAGGACTGCCCCACTTCATTCTGCTTCTTACTGCGCCAGCTCACTGCACCACCTCCGAACAGGCACACATAGCCTCCAATGCTGGTGCCATCCGCTTTCACCGAGTTGAAGCTAGCGTCAGTGTAGCAGGTCAGGAGCATCTCCCCCTTGCTCAAATCAGCTGCACCCCTCTGCAGCCTCTGCCTCACAGCACTGTACTCCAAACCCACTGATGCCGTTGCACTCACATAGCGGACCAACCTCTTGGCCGCTTCCAGCTGCTCATGACTGGGGCGTGAAACCACACTAGCAAGCCTGGATGTTGCAAAGGCAATGTCAGGCCGTGTGTGGTTAGCCGCATAGTTGAGTGCCCCAACCATGGAATGAAAAAGTTTCCTGTCACTCTCACCCACCACCTCCTCATCAGCACAGGGCTCCACAGTGAACCCCGAAGGCAGTGGGGTGGCTGGCTTTCCTCCATCTTGTAGCCCATACTTGTCAGCCAGCCCCTCACAATACTTTCTCTGGTGCAACCTCAACACTCCCTTGTCAAGGTCCCTCTCCACATGCATCCCTAAATAGTACTTCACGTCTCCCATCTTGGAGCACTTGAACTGCATCTCCAGCATCTCCTCCACATGCTCAATCATTGCAGACGAATCAGAGAAGAGCAGGATGTCGTCCACATACACCAGGAGCATGAGAAACTGCTCCTTCTCCTGCAGCAGGAACAAGATGTGATCACACTCACTCTTCTTGAAACCCCCAGCCAGCAGAGTCTCCTCTAACTTGTGGTACCATGCACGAGGAGCCTGCTTCAGGCCATAGATGGCCTTCTTCAGCCTGCACACCCTGCCGCTCCCATCATCCAATCCCTCAGGCTGTAACATGTACAGCTCCTCCATAATGATCCCATTAAGGAAGGCGGTGGTGATGTCCATCTGCTTCACCCGCCATCCACGGTTTGCTGCCATTGCCAATGACACCCGAAGTGTTGTGCCTTTCCCCACAGGAGCATAGAGCTCGTTGAAGTCCTTTCCCTTTGTCTGCTGAAACCCCTTAGCCACAAGCCTTGACTTGTAGCGGGTCAGCGCCCCATCAGGTCCGTACTTGTGCCTGAAAATCAGCTTGGAAGAAATGGCCTTCTTCCCGGGTGGCAGCTCACACAGCTCCCACGTCTCATTCTCTAACAGAGAATCATACTCCTCCTTCACACTCTGCTTCCACTTTTCAGCATCGGGCCCGCTCAATGCCTCAGCTAGCGTCTTGGGCTCAGGGACGGCTGCCCAGAAGCAGTGTGCTATCTCATCCTCATCACACTGCTCAGCCACACTCCCAGCCCTCACCACCTTTGGCTTGCCACGGCTTGCATAGGTCAGCCTGTTAGGAGGGCGCACATCCCTCCTAGGACGGTCAGCCGTACGTCCGGCACCTTGTGGAGCACCTTGCTCCTCCTGCTGCTGCTGCTGCTCCACCTCAGGTTCTCCCCCATCATCAGTCACCCCAGAGATCTCCTCCTTGGAGACACAAACCTCCACCTGCCTCGAAGGCCGCTGCACCTCATCGGCTTCGACAATTAGCGGTGTCGTAGGAAGCTTCTGCTGCTGCCGCTGCTTCCACTCTTTGTAGTACAAGGACTCAAGGAACTTCACATCCCTTGACACAGTCAGCTGCTGGCTGGTCAAGTCCCAAATCAGCCAGCCTTTGTGATCCTTAGCAAGCCCCAAGTGCACACCCCATCTCCCAGAAGCTTCCAGTTTTCCCCTCTTCTCCTTAGGCACATGAAACACCACCATGCAGCCATAAGTTCTCAGCATGTTGACTGCAGGCGCACTCCCATACCACTTGGTGTAGGGGACCCATTGCTTGTCCCCCACAGTCGCCAGCACCCGGTTCTTCACAACAACGACCTGCCGCAGTGCTGTCACCCAAAACGGATCCGGCAGCCCTGCACGCCCAAGGAGAGTGCGAGCACCTTTCTGCAGAGTCCGGTTGAACCGCTCAGCCACGCCATTCTGCTGAGGGTTGTAAGGCACTGTAAGTTAATGCTGGATCCCCGTCCGCTTCAGCTCCTTCTCAAAATCAGCGCCGATGAACTCTCCTCCGTTGTCAGTGCGGATCACCTTCACCTTGTGTCCGCTCTCCCTTTGTGCTCTCGGCATCCACTCCTTAAGAACAGCCGCTGCCACCTCCCCCTTAGTCTTGAGAGGGTACACCCACACCGCACGTGTGTGGTCGTCCACAATTGTCAAGAAGTAGCAGCTGCCCGAGAGATAAAGGGCCCTCGTGGGGCCCACCACATCCATGTGCACTAGTGCAAGTGGTGCCTTGGCTGGTCCTGTGCTGCTGCTGAAGGGAAACTTCGTGAATTTGGTCTCAAGGCAGGTAGGGCAGCTCCCAATCTCCTTTGCTCCCCCCTTCACCTCCAGCCCCTTCAAGCACCCATCCTTAACCAACTTCTGCAGCATAGGAATGTTCACATGGCACAGCCTCTCATGCCACGTCTCCCAATCAGCCTCACCACTCCGAGATGAAGCCTTTGCCCATGCAGCTGTCGCATCCACACCAGCAAGCACCTCACCATGTGGCTGTTGTGGCTGCTGCACCTTCTTGACTGCATCCATGGCCGCAGCAGTTGGTGCAGACTCCTCTCCTCCCGCAGTTGCTTTAGCCGCTCCCGCTGCCTTTGCTGTTGCTGGTGGTTTCCCCTTCCAAGGGATGATGGGCAGCTGCCATAGGTCCTTGATGCAGCTGCTCTTCTCCTCCAAGTTCCACAGCAGCAACTTCCCAAGCTTTGCACGGCAGCTGGTTGGGCCGAAGGTAACTTCAGCCTTGCTCTTCTGCAGCCGACGCACAGAAAGAAGGTTAGCGGACAAACCTTCAACCAACAGCACATTCCCAAGCCCCACAAGCTCTCCATTGGCTCCCATCACCTTGGCATTCCCAACACCAATCACAGGGAGCAAAGCACCTGAAGCGGCAGCCACAAACGTGATCTTCCCAGGAGGTTTTACCTCATCAAGCAAATCTGCCCGTGGGGTCATATGACTCGTGCAACCTGAATCGATCACCCAGTGAGTGAGGGGGTGCATCACAACCTTCCCAACTAAACCCACATCACCCCCACTCCCTTGCACATCCTCAACCATGAGGCACATCCCAGGGTCAGCTTTACCTTGTGCACCATCACCTTGTGCACCTGAACCTTGCAGAGCGCCACCTCGTGCACGTTCACCACTTGGCGGCTTCATGCCTGGGGGCGCCCATCCCTCAGGCCGGCTGAAACACTTGAACCACGGGTGTCCAGCCTTCTTGCAGTACCAGCACGCACCCTCCATTCGGGTGCTCCCCTTGCCACCAGAGCTCCCATGCCCCTCATTGTAGTCACCTCGGCCTCTCCCTCTGCCAAAGCCTCTCCCACGACCTCGGCCTCTCCCTCCCCCTCTCCCTCTGCTGCCTCCTGCAGCTCCATACCCCTCAGCAGTTTTGTTAACAGCACCACCTCCCGTGTGGCGCCTGCGGAAGTCCTCCTGCAGGATCTGCTGCCGTAGCCACTCAGGCGTCCACTTGTCCTGCTGAACGTTGAGGGTGGGGATGAGGTTGTCCCACGAGTTGTCAAGCACCGAGATGATCTTGGTGCACTGTTGCATCTGCGACACTTCGCTGCCCGCCGCTGCCATCCTCGCATAGGTGTCCTTGATCTTGTCAAGGACTGGTTTCACATCATCTCCCGGT